CTCCAGCAATGTCAAGGACGTCACACAAGTACTCGAGATAACAGTATATGATGAGGATCGCGATCATCGTGTCGAATTTTTAGGGAAGTTGGCAATTCCACTGCTGCGGATTAAAAATGGTGTAAAGCGCTGGTATACGCTAAAAGATAAAAATCTTTGCACGCGTGCCAAAGGATTGTCGCCGCAGGTAAGTTTCGATTACCAACAATATAGATTTAAGCAAGGCTTGTGGACCTACTGAATTCCACAGAAATTTTCTAAAGGTATAACTAATATTTTATTATTCATCTCATAAATCACAGATCTGCCTTGAAATGATCGTACTTTGGAATGATGTGCGCGCCATTTGTCGCATATTGCAGCCGAAAGAGGAAAAACTGATACAACAGGAAGCGAAATTCAAGCGTCAACTCTTTCTACGTAACGTCAACAGACTGAAAGTAATAATTATGTATATATTGGATGCGGCACGTTACGTGCAGTAAGTAATAAACTAAAATTAAGAAGTTAAGCACATCACGTGTTTTACGAATTCATTGAGTGATTTTCTTTCACTTTGCATTCGCAGAAGTTGCTTTGAATGGGAGTCACCGTTGCGCTCAGCCATTGCTTTTGCTCTGTGGATATTGGCCTGCGTCTATGGCAATTTGGCGACTGTGCCATTAGTCTTGCTGCTAATCATAATCAAGTGCGTGGCAATGCTTGCAATATTTTATGTGTACGTATATATTTATTTCAATATTTATGCTTTTACAGAAACTGGTTGGTGCGCATGATTACCGGTACGAGTAATGATCCTGCCGCTGGCTACTATGATTACGACTACGATGAGGATGACGATGACGATAAGGAGAAGGAGGAGAAGAAATCGATTAAAGAGCGTCTACAAACCATACAGGAAGTCTCGCAAACGGTGCAAAATACCATTGGCTATCTGGCATCACTCGCCGAAAGCACTAAAAAGTAAGTGCGAATTACGTGTATGGCTATGAGTGGGGGGAGGGGAGGTTAGAGAGGTTAGGTAACTGGGTAAGCTTTCTAATGCTAATGTAGCTCAATATTTGCAAAATTGAAAAACCTTTTGATTGCACGAATAAAATAAAGAATAGTTAAACGGAAAGAACTACCTTTAAAGCTTAACTAAAATAATTTAAAAAAGTTTTTAAAATTTTTCACAATATATTGTAATTTCAATATTTTACAATATTATATTCTTGAACAATTTTAATTTTAAAGCAGATGGCAATTTCAAAATATTTTTACCTACCTAGTATCAACATGTCATGTTTTTTCGTACTTTATATTCTCCAAAAATTAAACTAGGTGGCAACTCTAAATAATTATTAGCCAAAATATTTGTTCATCTAATATCCACAATTCAAATTTCACATATTATATTTGTATATTTTTTTTAATAAATAGATTTATAATCATATGGCAGCTCTTTATAGAATATTTTGGTTAAAACAAATATTAGTTTCTATGTAGTAAATTTCATGACAATATCGACACTAAAAAAATGTATTAACTGTAACTAATTTTCAAATTTTATTTGCACTCGTACGTGATCTAGTACTTTCAATTTTTCCGTCCCGGAACTGACGTGGCTCGCAGTGGCGCTGCTAGTTGGTGGTATTGTGGTCTTGCACTTTATACCCATACGCTTTCTGCTACTCTTCTGGGGCATTATGAAGTTTTCGCGACGCATTCTACGCCCGAACACAATACCGAATAATGAGCTATTGGACTTCCTATCACGTGTGCCAGACGATGAACAAATCGTGAGTATCTTATCTTTAGTTGCATATGGGTTGTTTTTTTGATATTTTGCTTTTGCACTACACTATATTGATTTTCAGAATCAATTCCGTGAACTGCCACCCACAGCGCCCACCGATCAGTCGCGCAATAATCCTAAGAAAAGATTCAAAGCTTCATAGTCCATTGCCAATTTAGATGCCACCGGCGCGCTGCAACAATTCCAGAGCACGAAAGTGGCACAACAGATTAGTTTCGGTGATGCTGGCGCCGACACTTGCATGTTGCCGCAACATGTTGGCAGCGCAAGAACACGCTCCGTGCGCAACATATTCAAAGCAAGTCGTGACAACTTGAAACAGCAACTGAATAAAGCTTACGGTAAAAGTGTAAAAAAATTGAATTAGTGGAAATTTTGTAAATAACATTCATACATACGTTAGCATATAATCTCAAAACAACAAAAAAAAAGAAAATAACTAAAAAACAGAGCTACTTATGACTTTATTAAAGTAAACTTAATGATTGACTTAAATGTGAACTTTCGAAAACTTAAACAATTTATTGAAAACACATACAAACAACGCACTTCCAAGTTCCAAAGCTCACACAATTAATATACATAAATATGTATATAAAATTCGAACTTATGCAATTAACTGTTGAATACTGATGAAATTAACTGATAATTAATATTTTTACTTACAAATATACACTCATACAATCATTCATATAAGTATTTACTTTATTTATTGAAAAGAGCAAACTACACTATTTACAAAAAATCAATTCTTAGCACTTTACTAAAATTATTACATTCGAAAACTTAATTAGAATAACTGTAAATACATAAATACAAACAGATTTGCTTAAGTATTTATTAATTCCACCTAAATACCTAAATATTTTTCAAAAAATATATTTAAATAAAATTTTTTAATAACATATAGCATAATATTCAAATTGTCAAATTTAAATTTAATTAGCAAATACCAAAAACAAAACAAAAATGCTAACACATACTTACATATATTGAAATTTATATTTAGCATAGATATTCAAATATTATTTAAGCGATTTGTTACAAGATTTGTGATATTTTCTAAGAGATATATTTATTAGACTCATATTTAATAGGCACACGAATTTAGTTAACAAATTTATTAAGCTTAATTAAAGCCAGTATTTCTGCTCATCGTCCCGGCAGTATAGACAACTATTATTTACGTAACCATGTACAGTTTTGTTCAACTTATCAAGTACGCTGTTTTTTTAGTGTGTAAGAAAACATTTATTTTAACTGTTTACAAAATGTATGCACCATTAAACTATTAAAAACAGCTCTTTGTAGTATTTATATTTTTTATTTTAATGGAATATGCGATTAGAACCCGGAGATTTGATTTTATTAAACTTTTGTTAAAAAAATCCATTTCGGTTATTCCAGATATTTGAATTCTTTTAATAATTTTTTATATACTCAACGAAATTATTGTACCCTGATAAGAACATATTAAGTTTGCAAAAAGTTTTTAAAATCCTGAAGAAAACGTCGGAGACCCTATAAAAATATACAAACATCAATGATCAGCGTTACGAGCTAAGTGAATTTAGTCATGCCCATCCATTTGTATATATTTCTTTATTTGTGAAGAGTATTGTTGCTTCGGTGCAACCGAAGTAAACATTTTTTCTTGTTTTCATTACTTTTAGTGCTAGCAAGAGATAGGTATAAGCTTTAAAGCTTATAAAAGAGAGTAGAAGCTTTTGTGAAAGCTAACATACGCTTCTTTTAAACTTATTTACTTTTATACAAAATTTATATTCGAACATTTCTCTATTATTTTCCATCGGAGCACAATGAACATCAACAGTTTCTTTTGCTTTGCCGTTATACCAATAATCTTGCGTATTTTATGACAGTCATGAATTTCCGCAAAATGCGTTCCCCGGATCGCGGTAATGGGTCAGCAAGAATACTCAGACGAGAATCATTAAAAGAGCAAAGCACTCATGTTCAAGAGTTATAACCACTTATTAATTTCACAATCAATCAATTGTTTTTATTATAACAAATGTACTTACATCCATTTGAGAACATTCTTCGAAAATTTTAGGTTGATCTTCCAAATAGTTTGGGAGATGTAAGCCCATTTGTACAAATTAACTTGGTATAATCGGCTCCCAAAACTATAAACGTGTTTTTCACGAAACGCTATTGACAGAGTCGGAGTTTCCGAAACGCCTGAACCGGTTGACTTGAGAATTTCACATGACCTTCTCAGATATACATATGTATATGTCAGGTAAATTTTGGATTTGAGATAATTTTAAGTAGAAAAATCTTCTTCACCACACGACACCTTTTACTCCGAACTCTCCGGAGATCGGCTATGGGATCAAGAGAATATAAAAGTTTTCAAAATGAACTTAGCTCTGCCCTACTTTTAATTTTTTATATTGTAGCAACTATCTCATGAAGTGACATGCAGCTCATTCAATTGAGTTCGTGCGCAAGACCGCTGCTAATGTTGAACCGAAAAAAAAGCTTTTCACACTGATAAATTAAATTATACGCACATTAATGGCGCGATCACATTTCAAATCAGTTTTGTTTTACGCAGCACTGACTGTAGGAAATTATGGAAAGCTTACTGTTGTGAAAAAGCTTATGTATTTTCAGCTGACAACAGATTGATATAATGCGAAGGTATTTTCACCTTTCACTTAATAAAACCAAAAAAAAAACAATATGAAAGAATTTTTTGAATTAAAAGTTTGGCATTATATTAAAGACAAATCTTTACATATAATTTATAAGGCGAAAAACTTGCTTGGTGTCCACATTTCCTTGTGGGTATTTTAAGTTACATTTATCAAAGTCCAAAACACCTCTCTTCAAACCTGCAGATATATATATACCTATACATATATACAATTGCGTACACATGTGTAGTTAATATATAGCAATCTAAACACCTTTATATCTGCAACCCATCTAACTGATAGTGTAGGTTTTTGAGAACACCAACATTTAGAAATGATTTTGTTGCCAACCTACACCACGCATCTTAAGAGTTTTTTACTATTTGCTTATCTATGTTTTATAACATTTTCCTAAACACAATGGAGTTATTTTGAATTTAAAAAATATATTTATTAATTAATCAATAATTTTTTAATAAAAAAAGTTCAACACTTAAATTTATATACAATTAGGTGTACAAGTATATAAAATTGAATTAATAATATTTCAATAAATGCAATTCTGGTTAGAATCCTAAATGTCACACACATGTGTACAGTAACCAACACTTGTAGTTTAAAGCCCTAGAAAAACGCGTAAATGCTAACAAATATTAGAGCATATACATATGTCTGTATGTATGGATATGTGGCGCAATTTTGCTCTACCGCTCACTAAAAGTCTACTTAGTTATTGCCCTCATTCTTCATGAATTCATAGACAACAGAAAAATCCTTGTTGCCCAAGCCATGTGCCTTCAGTGTACGGTATATCTGATGTGACAGAGCACCCAAAGGAATGGGTGTGTTGGTCGCGGTGGCCACACCGGCAGCCAAACCCAAATCCTTAGTAATCAAATCGGTGGAGAAACCACCAGCATAGTCTCTATTACTGGGTGCCGTGGGTGTGACGCCGGGCACTGGATTGTACAATTCCGATGACCAACAGCGCCCGGTGGACGAGTTAATGATTTCGGCAAATACATTTGGGTCCAAGCCTTGGCGTATGGCCAAGTTCATCGCCTCCGATGTGCCAATCATGGAAATGGCCAACATCATGTTGTTGCACAATTTCGCCGCCTGACCCATACCATAGCTGCCACAGTATGTGATACGTTTACCCATACCCTCCAGAATAGGTTTAACAGTATTATATTCATCTTGCGTACCACCAACCATGAAGGTCAGTGTGGCCTGCTCAGCGCCGGGTACACCACCCGATACGGGTGCATCAATAAAGCGCGCACCCTTTTCGCTAATGAACTTCTGCAACTGTTTCACCACATTTGGATCAATGGTGGATGAGTCGATGAAAACAGTGTTCTTGTTGACGCCATCGGCAGTCATATCGTTGTACGCCTTCCATACGATATCATTATTGGGCAACATTGTGATAACGTAATCAGAGTTCTTCGCCAAATCGGTGGTCTTATCATAGACAGTAGCGCCCTTGGCCTTCAAATTGTCGCAAGCCTCCTTCGAGATATCAAAGACATGCAATTTGTGACCCTGCTTAATCAGATTACTGGCCATATGACCGCCCATGTTGCCGAGTCCGATGAAGCCAACATTCTTGGCGGTAACGGCCTGTGATGACATGGCTCGCACCAAAGTTTGGCTCATAGCCTTGGTCACTGGCATTGTGAAGACGATACGTAGCGCCATTTTCCGTTCGTTTTAATTAACTACAAACGAAAGCGAATTAACAATTGATCAACTGTGTGTTACGCAATTACAACTTCAAATATTCCACGCAGCCAGATAAATAAAAAGATATGCATGTAAGTATGTAAATATGTATCGCCAACAAGAAAATGTTCTCCACTGGCACACACACACACAAAAATGTATAGCGTATTGTGCTTTCGTTATATCTACATACCAGTTCCACTAAAGCGATCCACACTCTTCAGCACTCAGTCGCACACTGAACTATCTTCAGCTTTCGCATTGCTGCCTAGCCTCCTAGAATACTAGAAGTATTTATTTGTTTGGAAAATTAAAGCAGAATATATGCATACGTGTTTTGCGCTGGTGCATCGAAAAACTTTATTTATGGGGGTGACATCTGGACTACTTGTGATCTTTCACGATAGTAAATAAATTAAAATGTTCGAGAAAACCTCATAAAGTATTTATATAAATGACCAGCGTGTCGATTTAGCTGTGTTCACCTGTCTGTCCGTCTGTATACGAGTATATGCGAAACTTATAGCCTTATAATAATTGTTTTACGGCTTGTGCAACCTTTAGTTCCAGCAATGTTGGGGGAATCCGTGGTTGATCAATATATTTCGAATGAACTTTAGTTGTTTAAGTTCCTTGACTTCTGTTTCTGTGTGAAATATCAGTGAGTGCTCTTTGCTCTGTTTTTCCTTCAATTGATAAAAAAAATACCAACTATTAACCCCGAAGTATTTAGTCAAGGTCACAACTTTGAAATTTAGAAGAGTAGAAATAGTTATATCTGGCATTCATTGAAATTTATTTAATTGTTTTTTTTTTATAATACTAGTTGATTAGCAACTTTCTCTATGAAGTCGTTAATACTTTTAGTGATATTAGGTGGTCCAAGACCCCCTCCGTTACCCAGTAAACTACTTCTCTCTAAACCAGAAATTTTTCCAACATGCATACTAGCATGAGTACAGAATACATATAAATAAACATAAAGAAAAAAGTCACCAGCGCGTGTTTAAGTAAACCCAATACGCACACCTCTAGTTCACCGCTTCTCCACAAAATCTCCTACAAACTAAATATTTATTGCATATATGTATATGCTCAATTGTGTGGAGGCACGATTGGCGACAAGCTCTGTCAATATGTACATACTTTTTACAGTTTGTATATATTAATATATATTAGTATATATCGATATAAATGTATTTGCTAATTGATCGTGTATATATATACTTGTATATATAAATATATGTACTTTATATGCCGGCAACTCTCACCTTGAGAACAAAAATAATAGAAGAGCGACAATTGTGTTATGTGAGCATACACATGTTAATGTATAGGAATGCCAACATAATATGAAATGGGATATGTTTGTGGGGTTTGGGTGTTAAAAATATAAAAAGTGTAGTATTTTTACTATTTCTTTGTATGGAGGGAATAAATAAACATAATATTAAAATAATTTCGCATAAATTGTGCTCAGAAGAGTTGTTAAAAATGTTATTATCCAAAAATTTTATAATTAATAGTAAATAGCCATAATAATAAAAATACATATATATCATCACTATTATTTACATTATAATTATTGTGATAAGCTTGAGCAGTGTAGAAGCTAACCAAGTTTTATTTTTTCTGGTTTTCAAACTAATGCCATTAGAATCAAGTTCCTACAAATAGATCGCAGATAAAATAATTTTTAATTATTCGAATAGCAATACAAACAAGGAAGTAGTACTTACCAAAGAAAATAAAAATTTAGAAGAGAGAGAAAGTTAGCGCATAAAACTCTCTTTTTGCTACATATATATATTCATATACATATATACATATGTTGAGCAACGTGTTATCGCGTCCATGACATTGACAGTTTTATGCCGAACTTGTTCTCAAATTTACGCCGTGTTCTTCTCGCCACATATATAACATATTCAAATAGCCAACCAGTAAAATATTTTTTGAGAGAAAGGTACATACCTATGTATGTAGAAAACGTGCGCTTTAGCTCTTCAATGTGTTATCAGTTTGCTGTTTATGAAATATAACATATTTAGTTGCATTTCATTTAATTAAATTGTAATCGATTCTATACTCGTGTATATACAAGCAGATAGCTATTTACTGAAAAGCTCGCCAAAGTTTGTGATACCCTTTATCGCTTTATTTATATAGTTATATGCAGCAAAAATACAATTATGTAGTTTGTATGTATGTATATAAAAACTAATTTTTGTATATTTAATATTTGTTTATGTTGTTGTTATGAATTATTGCGCGTGCAGATTTGGTTGTTATTATCTAGAGTAGATCAACTCGTTATAATAAAACAATATATATGCGTGTAGGTAGTAGTATAGGGTGAGTAAATATATAAATTTACTTTTCTATTGTTTTTAATTTTTTGTCTGTAGTATTTTTTACCTCAGCTACTAACTATACCTTTATCCCACAAAATATTTCAAATTAGTATCTAAACTTTTTCGTCTCCGCTTTTGAAAGCGAAATGAAATAAATGGCTAATATTTTCACTTAGCTAGTTCTCAATTGTAAAATATATTTAGTGTTTTAGGCCTACGACCAACTGCGTCTTAAAACCCCAACTAGGAAATTGTAAACTGAAACCAGGGTTGCAAATAATGCATTAAAAAATATTTGAATTACCATTTGTAATAAAATTTTTTTTAATTTGGTGATCCCAAATACAGGATTAAAATAAAACACAAAATTTTAATCTCGCGCTTCAGATTAAAAAACAAAAAACATTTTAATCTCAAAGAATTTGTTCTAAAATTAATATTTTTTCGCATTCATTCAAATCAAAAAATAATATTTTAATTTTTTTATTCCAAACATCTAGGATTTAAAAATTGAAATTAATCCCAACATCGGGAATAAAAAATTAAAATCTGATTTTTAATCCAAAAATTTTACTTGAAAAAATCGCAATCCTGACCGAAACTCATTTGATATATCATAAGTATATAATTATAATTTAATATTTAAGCTAAGTATATTTTGAATTATTGCATAGTTCTTATAATTCGATAATTTTTTGATAAAAAAAAAAATTTATTACGCTCATGTTAACGTAAAGAACTTAAAATGCTATTAATATAGTACTATAAAAACACAAAAATGTATTGCCTTCAAACTTCCTTCCTTAAAGAATATTAAAATTTGTATTATAATATTTAAAAAAAAAATAGTGTAAGGCGGCAATCTTTATTTGCTGAGTGTAACTCCAAATCGAATTCTAGCTATTAATATATAAAAATCTATTGTTAAAACCCCGTCAAAATATGCACATTAGCCCAAATAAAAAGCAAATGCATTGAACTCAAAGAACTTAGTACCTAATTGTGATTATACCAAAGGGTTCCAAAGAACAGTGTGCACGTAACTCCATGTATGTATATACTCTGTAAAGCTGCTGTTAATACTGTTAATAATAACGTAAAATTTACTGAAATTTCTACAAATCTGTAGTTCAATACATTTTTATTTCCATAAAGTGCTAACAATATATTAACGAAAGATACTTTAACAAATTAATAAGCATTTGCCAACAATCTTCAAATATTTATTTATAAAGTCACAATGCGCGAAATTTTATTATTGCACGGCTACTTATGTACATTCATACTATTTACATTTACATAATTCTGGTAAACATAAGACATTTTTACAAACACAAATTAACATTAACTTTTGTAAACCATTGAAATATTGAATTTGTAACACAATATAATTCTTTATACATACATACTTTAATTAAGATCGAAAAAAATATAATAAAGTTCGATTTAAAATATTTGGTAATTTCATTTTATTATATTCATAGTCCTTGACTTTGTCTCTAAACCAGGCAGCTAATCGTTCTCTCACAACAGAGGAAAAGTTTTGTAGCATATGCTGTAGATTATAGATTATAGATTAACGTACTATTTCTTTGATTTTAGGTTAGTTTTTTCCCGCTACACTTGTATATAGGCGCATTACAAACGCATATATTGACTTCAAACCCCTACTTGTAGAAAATTTGTTAATATTCCACTATGTTATGTCAAAATGCCAATTTGTGCAACGAGACTTAATAGATTGAGAATTTAAAGAGTAAGCACGATATATAAATTCTACAATACCATATACCTTGAGCGAGTCGAAAGAGGCGGCACAACTTAAAAAATCGCAAAAATGATATATTAAGCAATTGATTTCTTATATCAACAAAAGGTGACTTCCTTTAAATCACAGAATATCATTCATAAGCTAATTAAGGTATACAATCTAGTCAAATATGACTCGGACTGGTCCATTTAAACTATAAAAGCGCACAAGCTACTATCCATAAAACTATATTTTAATTTTTTGGCAAAACCTTTTTTATGTTCATTTGAAGTATGCTTGGCAGCTGCTTGTTTACGGTGCGAAAAGTTTGTTTGGCGATTTTTACTATGGAAAATATACAAGTATAACAATAAGTTTGCTCGAAATTTTGTATTTTCAATAGAATCATAGCCACGGAATCGTTGAAAATTTTGCAGAAGTGTTTTGGGAAGTATAGTATGGCGCTCCGAAAGTGAAGCGAAACCGAATAAACCACGTACGTCAACATTCAAAGAGATCCTCATCGTTTTATTTGATTACCGTGATGTGGTTCGCCAAGAATTCGTTCCAAAGGATAAACGTTATACAATAATGCGCCGTTACATTCTAGCATAATGTTGACTGACTTTTTGGCGCAACACAAAACGAGAATCATCGCTCAGCTACCTCATTTAGCAGATTGGCTCACTGTGACTTTTTTCTATTTTCGACAGTGAAAAATCCGCTTCGGTAAACGCGCTAGAAGTCCATTGAAGCCATTTAAAGCCATTTTTAAGGCACTGAAGGCCATACCGGCCGAGACTTATAACAAGTATATAAAAAATTTTATGAATCGTTGACCTGTTTGCTTGCATTGACTTAAAAGGAGCTTATTTTGAAGGTGATAATAAAGATTTGTATTATAATATGTGAAAATGTAACTTTTTCGTCAGTTCGGGTAAAATTTATCAGATTATTAATACCTGCAATTCTGTTTTGTTAAAAATCTCATCAGCATCGTTTAATATAGTTAAGAATTTTTTTTTTTTTAATTACGGTTGTTGGTACATTTTCCGACTTTCAAAAGGTTAAAGGTATATCGGTCTGAATTTGAAAGGTTATTAAACAATGTATTTCCAATCATCAAACTAGTGAAACTGTCGGATTTACTTCTTTTACAGTTAATCACTCAAGCCAAAGCATCACGACAATTAGACCTGTTTGCTACCAGCTTAATGAAAACAGACCATATGGTCCCACTTAGCTAACTAACAGTTTATTTTAATATAATCTAATAATGCACTGAGTCAATAGACGAGGCGACATAGTAAGCAGCTAGTCAATATTATTTACTCACGTATGGCCATCACATATAAAATATGAGTCACAAATTATTTAACACAATTTTGTGAATGAAATTACGCTACCACGCCGCTCTTTTCTCGTTAAAGTCAGTCGGTCAGTTATTTTTTGATTACACGAAATGCCAAAGGCATAAACCAGAACAGTAATTATGGTGCACGCAATTTTTACGCACCAAAATTATAAAGTAACTGTATTAAAAAAGTAAAATAAAAACGTCAAGATAATATAAAAAAGGCTTTGACACTCGACGACGTGCTTTATTTGTAGATACGAACCGCACTTGCAGATATGTTTCGGCCTGTGTCTGCATGTGTGAGAGTGTGGGAATTGCATATGCTGCAATATTATTTCAACATTGCATAACGGAGACTTCGTCATGTGTGTACCAGAAAAAATTGAGTTTAAAAAAATACAATTTGTAAAAATTAGTAAAACAACAAATACAAATATACTATTATTGAATTTTTATGCCAGAAAATTTTAACATCAGCCAGTGTCAATTAACAGATACAAAAGTAGAAAAAAATGCATATCGGTTGCACAAAAGCTATAATACCCTTCAAAGGTGCATTTCTTATAGAAACAATGTATATACATAACTAAATCTGAAAACGTAACAGTGGTTTGCATTTAACGGAAAATATTTAGTTATTTATAGCCATGTTGTTTGATACAAATGGCTTTCTCAGCTATAATCTATAGTGATTCGAACTCAAAAGGGTCGAATATCGGCAGTTCACACGAACGAGCAGCTTCTTGAAGATAAAATCGATTTCAGATGGATATCGCAAAAACTAAGGGACTAGCGCGCGTATATACAGACGGACCTGGCTAAATCAAACTTCGTGGTAGTTAAACTTAATACACGCTGTTCATGGTATAAAAATAAAGATAAAATCTCGGAATGCTGCTCTTATTAGTAGACACAAGAAGCAAGGCGGTCCGAAGTGTTTATGAGGAGTTGAAAAAACTTACTGTGTACAAGCAAACCTGTTTCATGATGCTGCATGCATATGTTTGATCTAAAATTAACTGATATACTAATTACAATAAACGAGTATGCAAGCGGCAACAACAAATTTTGGTAAAAGCAGCTGGATACTACTTACTAAAATTAAAACAGGTGGTGGGAGGGTTACGATTAAAGTTTCTGGTTTCATGTTCACTCTAGAGTACAAATACTTTGAAAAAAATGTCTTTAATACGATATTTTTATTTTTTATTTTTTTCATTTATATACTAAAAAAATGATTATTCAACAGCACCACAAGTTCACTGTTCCACCCTGATGGTGACCCACTTTTGAATTTTTTAATACAAATTGACTTTGGTAAATAAAAGTAACGCATAACTCGTTTTAATTAACAAACTTGCATAATTTTTAGCTCAGCAAATTTCTTGAACCTATTTCACTTATTACAAATAAAATTTGCAGCGACAGCTGAAACGAATCAATGTTTATTTACAAGCTTTTCTCACCGATCCTCTTTACATAAGTAGTGCAAGTATCTAATCAAAATGAACATACATACCTACGTACTACCAAACATAGCAAACAATAAGAGTAAGTAGATATATTTATAAACACAGAGTAAACTTGGAATCAATTCACTCAACTAAAGTGGAGCATATTTCGAATGGAGTCAACATGTTGACACACCGGTCAGCAGCTGACGAGACACACAGAGCAGTATTCGCAATATTTTTGACACGAAAAGCAACAACAGCAGAGAAGACACGGATTATAATAATAACGGAAAAATAATAATGCAACATTTTCGACTTACTTATTTGTACTGAATATTGCAACAATGAGTCGTGTTGCGAACTCGGTGAGCATGAAATGTCTTTGCACAAATCAAGAAAGTTAAATTATGGTCAGGTCACATAAGAAAGCATTGAAAGGTAAGAATTTCGAAATAATCTTTAGTTAAGAAATATAATAGTTATATTATATATATAAATATAATAATTATATACAATAAATAAATTTAAAAAAATGTAAAAATGTTATGTATAAAAAGCGATAAACATACAGTGAAGTCTATTTAGGAAGCATTTGTTTTGTAAAAGAATTCCAAAACAGAGAAAATAATTTAAGGGATATCTCTCTTTTCCTTACAGCTTCAGAGGGCAAGATTTCAGCTGAGAAGATATGTTAAAGCATAGTTTGGAAATCTAATTAAAAATTAGCATCACTTTTGAAGGATAAGAGGAACTATCCATTCTTTCATCCCACTGGAAAAAGGTTTACATCAAAATAGAGTATCAAATGTTGACTTGATTCATTCTTGACTGCCAAGTCGCTGCACTACTTTTGGGGATGGAATAACATATAACAATAATTTGAATATTGTCCGTGCTTTTCTTAAATAAACATTCAAATTATGAGAAAAAACGCACGAATATAGTTATGTACCCCTAGTTAGGAAGCATTAACTATTATCTTATTGAGGAAATTTCAGTTAATCACTTCATCTGAAAGAAGAAATCAAACATTTATTCAAAGTAAGATTAGGCACCGATAATTTCCTTTGACAGTAAATAATAGAATTTGAAATTTCCCACAACACTCAGTTAATCAATCACTCCCTGGCTCATAAAGTACACACAGTTATCAAATAATGCATACAAGCATGAAGCACATGCAGTAAATGATCGACAGCGAAAAGAAATTGCCGATCACTTTCAAGAGAAGTGGAAAAAAGATGAGCGATTAATAAATAGAAAAACTAAAATTCCTTTATAGTAAAACCATCAACGAAGACAGGGCTGAGAAAATTGTATGCAAAACGATTTCAATACTCAAACTGAGAGACTCAGACTCAGACTTCAAACTTCACACATAAATCAAGCGTTAATGGGTTTTTAATGTTGTCAAGCAATCGTTGGCAAAGCGTTGCAGTTGTCAATAAATTTTCGGTGAAATGTAAAACGAATATACGCCGAATAATCAATGACTTGTGAAGCGTAGACGGAAGTACACTCTTCACACACACATTAATTCAAATGTCAGCAGCAGCAGACAATGCAAAGCAACCGCAGCGGTGAAACAAAAGACTTAAGCAGCGAACTTCACAATGTGAGAAACGCTTCTTAACACTTTTAATTTTACTGCTAATTAAACCGCATGTAAATGAACACTCTAAATTTAATCAGCGATATGGAGTACAACAACAACACGCACTAGACTAAGGAAGCAACAAAAGCAAGTCGATAATTTAAAGGCACTAAGCACGCACTGTGCAATTGATTTCTATTGGATTTTCGCTTGCTTTCACAAAAGCAACAAAAAAACAAAGGTAAACTATTTAAAATGCACAGCAGCTATATTTATATATGTATATATACTAT